CGGGTGTTCGGCCCATCCCGAACGCCGGTTACCCTGTATATATACATAAATATATATATATATATATATATATATATATATATATATATATATATATATATATATATGTGCATATATGTATAAGCTCTTATGACCAAGGATGATATTTTGTAGAGTGTGAGAGGGGGGTCAATCGTGTAGAATCCGTAGATGTCTTCCCCCCCCCCCTTTTTTTTTTTTGCAGGGACAATTATGGTGGTCGAAAAAACAGTGAAATTTGTTTTTTTTTTTAATAGTAGTATGAAAAAAAAAAAAAAATTCAAGGCATTTCGAATAGAGTGGCAAAAGACTTGTTGAAATCATGTCAAAAGAGTAGTATCGAACGACAAGGAGGACAAAGGAGAGAGGACAGGGAGGAGGATAGAGAGAGGAGGATGACGACAAAGAAAGCAGGAGGAGGATGAGAAGGACGGAGGAGGGTTGGGGACGGGCACATGGCGAGAATTGCAGGTGGTGGATGGCGAGGGAGATAGGAGGACGAGGAGACGGAGAAGGCGGTCAGGGGTCGATGAAACGGATGGGTGGGGGTTCAGTACGACGATGGCGAGAAAAGAGGAGGAAGAGGAGAGAGAGAGGAGGAGGAGGGGGAGGAGGAAGAAACTGGGATGAGGACGAAGAAGAGGAGGACGAACAAAGGAGGAGGTGGAGAAGAGGTAGGTAGAAGAATCTTTCTTTTTTCTTAAGGACCTCCTCGTCGTCGTCCTCCTTTCATCCTTCCTCTTCTTCGTCGTCCTTGTCGTCCATTCATCCATCCTCTTCTTCGTCGTTCCATCCTCTTCTTCGTCGTTTTTGTACTTCTTTTTTCTTCATCCTCCTCCTCTTTTCTCCCTCCCCCTTTCTTCTTCGTCAATGTTTTTCTCTTCTTATTCTCGTCCTCGTCCTCGTCCTCCTCGATCTCAAACTTCGTTCATTACTTTTTTTTTCCTAGCAGCTGGGCATGTTTGACATATGTGCCACGGGGCGAGAGTGACGATGGCTCGATTGGTTGGTATAGCAGTAGGGGTAGATCGGACGGGAGAGGGGTTGGCGACAGCCACATGATCTGATCTGAGTTGATTAGATTTGATCAGATCATATCATATCGGATCTTATCACATCACATTAGATCCATTGACATTTCATCTGATCACATCTGATCTGAACAGATCTGATCTGATCTGACGTGATCAGATATGATCAGATCGTATCATACCAGATCAGATCTGATCTGTTCAAATCAGATGTCCATGGATCTAATGTGATGTGATCTGTCACATGGGAGAGGATGATAAGGAGGAGGTGGAGAAGAAGTCACAACAGATCAGATGTCCACACATTTCTTGTGATGTGATCACATCTAATCAGATCTGGATTGACCACATCACATCAGATCAGAGCTGAATCATCTGATCAAATCTGATCACATCACATGAATGCATTGAGATATGATCTGATCAGATCTGATCTATTCTGGTTCTGGTTGGATCAGAACAGTTCACAACTGTTCTTAGCAAATATCAGATCAGATCACATGAGATCACATTCGGGGATGATCTGGCCCAGTTCGTTGCCTTTTTTTTCCCCCCCTTGTCGTGGGCAGTTGTTGTGTGCCTTCTTGCCTGTCCGCTCATGTTCGTCACATGCCCTCATTGAGTCACTGTCATTGAGATCCTGACTTCTTTCTGAGATTGTGTTGTGCCTTCTTCGCTGCAGTTCCCAGTTGTGAATCACATGCCCTCGCTGTGATTGCAGTCCCGTTTGGACTCCTTCGACACTTCGTCCCTTCACTGTTTGACTCCCCATCCTTGTATATCTTCTTCTTTTCCTGCTCCTTCTTCTTCTTTTTCTGCTTCTTCTTCTTCATCTTCTCTTCTTCTTCATTCGAGGATCGCGAGCTATGGCCTCGGCAGCTGGGACGAGCAAGGCAGCAAGCAAGAGCAAGAACAAGGTCAGTGGTGCTACAACGTGCAACAAACCAGCAATGGCCGCCACACCACCGTTTGAGCCGCAGCTGGAGGAGAAACAAACAGAGCTCCAGGGGGAAAACGTAGTGTATCGGTGGATAGAAAGGGGACAGGAAGCAGAGTCGAAGGGACATGGGCAGTACTGGGTCCGGTGCAGACTATGCACCGGAACATTCACAGCTTCAAAGCCACGGGCAGTGGGACCACTTCCTGAAGAAGGGCAAACCATCCACGTACAGGTCCGGGGAGATGCTGCATTTGCTTGCGCGGAGAGGAGTGAAGATCCAAGGAGACGCAACGAAGACGATGCTCCACCAAGACGGCGTGGAGAAGGGCATTCCGGAGGACAGAGGGATAGAGCCATCGCCGAATGCTGACAAGAGCACAGTTGATAATATCGAGCAACATTTGAGGCCCCCTCCTGCACCCGGGCGAGAGGTGTGGCGGACCGAGGTTGACGTTGTTCCTGACACGAGGGAGGAAGAAGCCATCACTGCTGTGGCGCCCTCCTGTGTGGGCTCTTCGTTAGCTGCAGAGCAAGGCAAGACAACACAGACCTCCATCCGAAGATGGACTGAGAACAACTTGAAGGCCCAAAAGAGACTCGACATGCAATGGGGAAGGACATTGTTTCGCTTCGGCGTCCCCTTCAATTTCGTGCACGTGGATGAGACACAAGCTCTTCACGACTCGTACACGGAGTTGGGGACCGCTAAGGCGAAGGTGGACATGCCATCGTTCGATACTTTGAGAACTGTCATTTTGGATGTTGTCCACAATGAGGTGAAGCCGTCGACCAGTGGGATGTTTCAGGCTGCACTCTCATCACGGATGGCACGACAGATCGCAAGTGGAGGCCTGTTTTGAACTTCATTGGCGCGGGGGCGGGTGGTGCTGTGTTGCTCAAAATGGTCGACATGACCCACAGAAAGACGAGCGCCGCAGTGATTGCTAAATTGCGAGAGGAGGTCATAAGAGAGATAGGCGTCCACACGGTGAACGCAATCTGCACCGACAATGCTGGAGTGAACAAAGGGGCCGCGATGATCTTGTCACGAAGCGTCGATCCGAACATTGCAAAGATTCCTTGGGTGCCATGCACCGCGCACACACTAAGCTTGCTTTTGAAGGACGTCTCCAAACTGTCGTGGGTGAGCAAGATAGTGAAGAGAACGAAGATGATGGCGAAGTTTACCAAGGACCACCATCGTACGGTTGCCTTGTTCTCTGAGTGCTCGTTCGAGGAAAAGAAGACCCTGGGCGTGCCCACGGATGTCAGGTTTGCATCCACTTTCGAGATGTTGAACAGACTACATGACAAGAAAGAGGTGCTTGAGGAGTTGATGGAGAGAGGGTGGAAGAGCATTCACTGGGGCTCGAGGGAGGGACAAGGTGGACAAGATCTTTGATACAGTTCGATCGAGTCGATGGTGGGAGGAAATGTATCAAATTGTCCTTGTCATGCGGCCGATCAATGAGCTGCTGAGGCGGATGGACCGGGATGGAGTGGCACCATAGTCTTTGTGGGGCTTTGGGGAGATGCTCCAAGGTCGGTTGCGCAGCATTCGTGGCCTGTCAATGCAGCAAGAGGAAGAGATGATGAGGATTGTCGACAACCACTGCAAGATGATGAGGCAGTCTGTGCACACTGCAAACTTTTTGTTGTCCCCAACGAGGCGGGACCCGCGCTGGGTCTTGGACAAGAACACCCCCCTTGTGCAGGATGCCATCAAACATTCCCTGACACAGCTTGGAAGGGAAAAGTGGGGTTCGCAGCAAAACCACGTGGAGGCGTGGCAGAGTCTCTAGGCTTTCCATCAAAAGCCCCCCAAAGACCTTATACATAAGGAGCCAATGTGGGACAAGTTTGGGGTGGCCGACAGCAGACTTGAGTGAAAGACGGCATCTGGGTGGTGGTCGGCGTATGGCGAGAACCATCCGGATCTGCAAAAGATTTCGACGAGGGTGACTTCCATGTGGAGCACAACCACACCATGTGAGAGGAGCTGGTCATCACTGGACCTGATCCATACAAGGCGGAGGAACAACTTGTCGAGCGCCAGTTCGGCCAAATTGGTGTCTGGAACATGCACCTCCAGAGCATCCCCAAGAGTCCGAAGGATGGTTTCATCAATGTTTGGGCATCATTCTTCGATGAGCCGGAGGTCCTGTCTCCTAACGATGATCCGATTCTTCCAGGCACTTTGGTGGAGGATGAGGCGGAGTTTGCGGAGGCAAGCAAACTTGGGGACCCCCAAGGGGAGGATTCCTGTAAGGGGGGATGCAGATGACTCAGACACTGAGTCGAGCGATGAGGAGATTATCTGGAGCGGGAAACCGAAGAAGACAAGGATTTCGCTGCCACGATCAGCAAAGGGGAAGGCTGCCATGGAGATGGAGAGCGATAAGGAAGAGGACAAGGAGGTGGCGGTGGACTTTAAAAACGACGACTGTGAGCCTGACTTCGGTGCACTGCCGCCGGCATACGAGTGTGTTTAGTGGACTCCAATGTTGGCTACGGTCACGAGGGCAGCTTCGCCAAGGATGTAGAGTGCTGGACAAAGGAGCCGCAACGGTGCGCAGGGGCAGGGGGCTCACTTGACGAGGCTGACAGAGCTGCTGCGAAAGACATGGCGGACCGGGACCATGACCTTATGCAACGCCGCATTCGTGAGGAAGTCGCACGTCGTGAGACTGTTCCCCTGCGTTCCAGGCTGGGCGCGCAATTACCACGTCCAACGACCAGTGGGCAGCAGCAACAACCGGTGGAGCAACACCCCGACCACATGGCAAACCAACAGTGGAACGAACTGGAGCAACATGATGAGCACCACCACCTCCCGATCGAGCAGCAACACTTCCTGGTTGACCACCAGCAATTCCCCATTGACCAGCAGTCCGGTCAGCAAAAGCAGGAGGAGCTGGCGGCTGAGCACCGGCTGTGCAATGAAGAGGAGCAAAAGTTGCCGGATGATCAGCAGCATTTGTCGCACAGTCAGCAGCAGGCCGCAGGGCAGGAGCCTCAGCAATATCTACCTTCATTCCCTCACTTGGACGAGACTCTCGTCCATGACAACATCAATATAAGCAGGGCGGGCAGGAAGTGGAAGAATGTTTTCGATCCCACTGCTGCCCCAATGGTGAAACACGGCAGGGGGAGACCGAGAAAGGGAGAGGCGAATACTGTGCAGCTGCCGCCTCTTCCACCTGCTGCAAGGCCCAAGCGCACAAAAACGGGGAAGGCAACAAGCTTGCGGCGTTGGAAGGTTGTCGAGGCGACTTTCGTAGAAGCTCTGACCGTCTGAGTCAGCAGACCGGGGAGCCCAACAGGAATGTCAAGAACTAAACCGGAGAACAGCAAACGGGGGAGGCAACAAGCGTGGGCCGGTTCAGGCGACTTTCGTGGCCTAGGTCAAAATCAGTTTTCTTCCGACCTGATCAATTCACCCATGTCGTGAACTGGGTTATACTCAGAACGTTTTTTCGGTGCTCACTGTTCAGGCATCCCTCCTGTCGTGTTCAGTAGATCAAGAAGGCATTATCCTCCAACAAACTATGCAAAGAGTCTCCACTTGGAGGAAAGCTCGTCACTTATTTATTTACGGTCGGGTCATGGTGACAAATAGTGCCCTCTTTGCACTTTTATGGTTTGTTGCCCTTGTCAGATCCCTGAGTAAGCATTTGTGCACCTTAACGACGAGAAGGATGGCCAAATTCATCTGGAAAACATTCTCTGGTGACGAGGAAGGCTTTCTGTCCGAAGTAGCCCGGGAACTTTTATGCTTCCTGAAACAGGATGGAGGATTGGGACTGACTGACCCTCAAAGATAGATCTCTGCGAAGCTGGTACGCTGGATCATCCCGGCGCTATCATCCAGGCGATATGGCCTCCGGTAAAGACCACTGGGTTTCCCTGGCCAAAACCATCCAAGCTCTGGAATGGAATTTGAAGAGGCCGTCAGATGTATGGTTATGCATGTTACTCCAATCTTTTTTTTTTTTTTAAACTCCAATCTTACCACAACAGAGCCATTAAATCTGCTTTCTGGAATGTCATTCTGAATGCCTGGAAAAAACTGCAACCAAACTCGTGGCTCCAACCTTCCACCAAAATGGAGGTTTTGCAACAGAGTTGCTGTTTGAGAATCCGAGCATTCGGAAACCGGACGGGTCCTGGTTTCCCGCAGACTGCTCCCGATCAAGCTTCGAGAGGAGCTGGCCGAATCTCATTTTCAAAGATTATCGAAGTAAGCAGAATGATAAAAAAAATCCTCCCTGTAGGAAAATTCAAACGTGTCCTTACCCTAAAAAGCGCATTTGAAGGTCGGGAAGGAGGGAGACGAGATTCCTTGGGAAAGCTGATTCAATTGGAAGACTCCTCTCACCCTCCCCTGGCGGCCAAATTGTCTCAGGTGAGTGGAGGTCCAAACCGACCGATGTTGAAAAATCGGCGGATGAGCTGTGGTTAGTGGTGAAATGCCACTCGAACTCGGAGATAGCTGGTTCTCCCCGAAACGCGTTGAGGCGCAGCAATTAACTGCACTATCCACGGGTAAAGCACTGTTTCGGTGCGGGCTACGAAAGTGGAACCAAATCCAGGCAAACTCTGAAGACTCTGGGAAAGCTGCGACGATGAAGATACCTGGTCTTGCCAGGTGTTCACTAGAGGTAGCCGTGTCCAGATGGACTCAGGTCCTAGACTGTGACGAGGAAGCGATCAAGAAAGCACTTACGAGACGTTGGATTCAATTGGATCTGAGTAGTGTAGACTACAGTGGAGTAGAGTAGTGTAGACTAAACAGTACAGTAGAGTAAAGAGTATAGTAGAGTAGAGAGTAGACGCTGAGACCCCCGATCCCCAGGGCTGGCCGCAAACCTGTGGTTATGATCGCTTCTGGCTACCCCGTCTGCCATCAACCAGGTCCCTTAGAGGTTCGAGTATAGATACGACATGTAATCGGTGCAGCTGGGAGTTCGTGTCCGGGGACTCGTAGCAAGCAAGCATACCGGAGGAAAATCTCCAAGAATAAGCTGGACTGCAACAGAGAATGGCTTCGGCCAGGAGGTGGTCTACCAGATAGACCATCTGGATCTGAGGAAAGGCTGGGGCTACATTGCACAGGTGACCAATCCCTTGGCTGCGAAGCGATCTAGAAAGAAAGGAGCTTGCAAATATTTCACAACATGGAGCTGACAAACAAGGAAGTTACAAGCGTATGTTCCGGACCTCTCCGGCAGCTGATTCAGGCTGACTGGAGAAGGAAGGCCAGGGGAAGTCGACTCGATGGTTTGCTGAAACACGGGGTGAAGATGGAAAACTGGCCAGGTGGTTTTGGGAAGATGGCAAGTTGGCACTGGACGGGTGGTTTTGGGAAAAGTAGACGTTCTTGTAGGAACCTGGGTACGCGGTTCAATGGTCCGCAGAAGTATGGCAGTTTGGGACTCACAACATGAAAGAGTGCTACCCTAGAGTGTGTCCAATGGGACCAATCCGCCGGGAGTAGGCGGTTAAGAGCACCAAGGACTAGTGCTATAATTAGCTAACAGATAGCTAATACTATTGGCGGGTTACAGACTAGTTTAGGTGACAAGTAGGCAGAGTACATTTTGGTTTGTTCTGGTTCTTAGGCCTGTCTGTGGCATTTTGTTGGCTAGTTTGATCGGATTAGGGTAGTGGTGTGACCGGAGGTTCAGCTGTTCGCCTCCTCCCCTCCCCGTCTTTCTTCCACCTTCTTCCTCGCTCCTCTTTTCCCCCCTCCCTCCTGTGCTTCTCCTTTCTTTCCTTGTCCTCCTCCCCTTTTTCCTCCTCGTCTTTTCCGGATTGTTAGGCTCTACAGGCCTCAGGTAACATTCTTTGTTTGGGTGGTGGAGTTGTCAGGACAGCGGCCTAGGTCTCTGACCACTTCTGTTCCTAGACTTTACTCGGCCTCAACGAACGCTCTGCTCGTAAGCTGAACTGGCTGATGCTGCCAGGGATAACTCCGGGTTGAATTGTGAGGTTTCCCCGGCCTCAATTAGACCTGTTTAATCAATTTGGTAAAAAAAAAAAAAAAAACAGTCAGAAGATGCAACATCCCACGACCCCGAACACTTGGGATACCACCCGCCGGCCACACCAAACATACATACCAAAACCAAGACAGAAAAAGAAACAGAGCGCAAAAAAGGCCAGAACCTGTCAGACTGAGGGCCTCACCACACCACTCTCGAAATATGAAAAAGACAAAATTTGGCGGCCGCATCTGGCCATCTTCTAGCGGGAAGTTCATTCCGCTTTTGCACATTTCGAGACTGGTGTTGCGACGGCCCACGCATTTCCATTTTCAACTACGCCAATTTACACGCTTTTTCTGTTCCGCTCCAAACTGAACACTCAACCATGTTCATTAACGCACACCTCAAACGTGTGAAACAATATCCAATCATACAGATATTTCACAACATGGAGCTGACAAACAAGGAACTTACAAGCATGTTCCGGCAAGTTCCTTTTCTTTCCATGTTGTGAAATATCTGCACTTAGCCTTATTTTCAATCCTCTGGTTTGTGGCAACAGCAAGGGGGTTGGCGGATGGAGTGATCAAGGCGGTACGGAGGCTGGTAGCGCGCTTCCTGTGGAAGCCCCGGGCCCGGACATCTGAAGGGTTCCTGCCCAAAATAGCATGGGCTACACTCACATTTCCCCGGCCCAAAGGAGGCCTGGGCTTGCTGGACCCTGCCCGAAGGAAAAGCCGGGAGCACTGGGTGACAGTGGCTGAACGGATCCTGACGAGGGACTGGAAACTGAGCAGGCCACAGGACGTCTGGGCCTGCTTCTTCATCCCTTCCTTTCGAAAGAAGAGACTCGAATCCAAAGTATGGGAACCGATTCGCCGGGCGTTGAACAAAGTACCTCCGGACAAGCAGACCCCCCCTAGCACGAAAGAGGAAGTACTAAACCAGCTGCTGTTTGAAAACCCAGCAGTGCTGGGTCAAGAAGGGCAGCCGTTTCTAGCGGATGGCAGCGGGAGAACCTTCGGTCAGGCCTGGGTCCGGATGGGGCGGTGCGGATCCCGGACCTGTGGTCCTCCACTCTAGGCGGATGGAAACCGATGACCAAAGTAAAGATCATAAGGGGCCTGCAGAGGACCGAGGAACACTGGAGACTCTTGATCAACGCCATCCCCCAAGAATGTTTAGGCATGTTGGGACCGGAAAGGACAGACCCAGCAGGAACGTGGTACGTACCAAACCAAGCAGGCGAGGAGGGAATGCTGTGGAAACTCGTAGAGATACTTCCCAGCGGTTTCAGGCACATCGCACAGTGGAAGTGTGAAGGCCCGGATAACATTCTGACACTGATGGTGGAAGACACGATAATGCTATGGGATAACCCCTCGCAAGCCCGAGTCTTGGCAAGGCGAAGATCCTCAGTCCGCAGGTACACTTGGGTGGGCAGACGGTCGCTCAGACAGCTATGTATTGACCCAGCCGCATGGAGTTGGTAACCGTCATCAGAGGAGGAGAGTGCCCTGAGCCTGCACAATTTTTCGATCTCAGCGGGGTATAACCAATACACCAACAAGCAGGAAATGCCAGCACAAGTAGCGATCCCCCGATGGCAGGCCGTCTGAGGCGAAGATCTATCGGGCACAGCGTCTGATTTCGAGAAGCTTTGGGAAGCCCTTACCTCCCCACCGAACGGAAAGCAAGTCAGCCTGCTATGGATGCTGTCCCTAATGGTAACCCCCTCGGCGGTCTGGTTGGCAAGCAGAGGGATGGAATTGAGCCTAGCCTGCACAAGGTGTAGCTGGCCTTTTGAGTCCACCAAGCATTTATGGTGGGCATGCCCAGCCTCCAAACGCATCTGGAAATGGTGGCCCCACCATCGGAGGGAGCTCGGGGGAGAAGGCATCGAGTGGAATGAGAGGTGGGTGCTGTTGGGCTTCCTCCCAACAGATGTCGTAACACACCGTGGATGGGGCTACATCCCTCATGTGGTAAGAGGCCTAATCTGCGAAACCATCTGGTCGGACAGGAACAGATCGAGATTCCAGGGACGCCTGTTTTCAGACTTGGAAGTTAAACACATGACCAAACAGGGATTGAAGCACGCTATCTGGACAGACTGGAGGAGAAGGGCCAAATCCGGAAAGGGCAGTCGGTGGTTCCTCCGGACCTGGGCAAAGAACCATCAACTGGCAGCGGTACACTCCAGGAAAGGCTTAGTGCTGTCAAAATGGGTACTAGAGGTTCCCCCTCTGAGAGTGGGCAGAGATGAGGCTGTATAGCCTGGGAACAGTAGGTAGTATTAGCATCAGGCTAGACTGGTCTCCGAACTAGGTCACTCGGTTCTTGGGACCAGGACACTCGGTCCCTGCTCGGGCGGCCCAGTCTAGTCTCCGAACTACGTCACTCGGTTCTTGGGACCAGGACACTCGGTCCCTGCTAGGGCCGCAGTGGGCCGTTAGGAGAGTGTCAATAGGTTAAGACTTAGCCTGATGGGCCTCGTTAGTCCCAGGGGTAAGTCAGGCAGGGAAAGGTTCAAAGGATCACCTAGTCAAACTCTGAGCAACTGGTTGAAATTACTCAATCCTCTTGTTTCAAGAACAGCAAGTCCAAGAACCCGAGTGATAGACCTGCAGTCCTGATAGCCGCTGGACGTGAGGCTCCAAGCAGTTAAAAAGAGTTCACGTTGGCAGGGTGTAGGTGTAGGCAATAGCAGCAGTATTTCTTCAAGCTCTGACCCAAGGATAGAGCCGACGGTAGGAATCTGGAAAGTTGGTAGTTCTTTGAACTTTACGCAGGTGCAAGCCTGTAAGCTAAGATGGCTGATGCTGTCAGTACCCCGGGTTGAATTGTGAGGTCCCGAAACTGTCTTTTTGTATCCCTGGGCTGTAAGTTTTCATTCATTAGGTATTTCAGCTTTTATAGAGGCTAAGGAGCTCTACAATGGTCTTAGTCTATTTGAATTCCAATTTCCATTTTACGTCTTCGAAAGAAACAAATATTGATTTTGTCATAAATTCGACAGAAGG